CCCGCGGACGGACTCCCTTGGCCAATTTTACTCTCTTATTTGCCGAATTCTACGATCCGTATTCCCGTAAAAAGGCCTGCTTCAAACCCACGTGGAGCAGAGTTGGTCGATTGTGACTTGCGCAATATCCTGTAATACTTCTCACCACGCCCCCCGGCCGTTGGCCTCCTGGGCCCTCTAGATCCACGGCACACCACAGGGCTTGTGTAGCCAATGAGCTTTAGCCTCATAGGATCAGAATAAGCTCCTTGGTGTAGTTGTGAGTAAATTTGTGACCCTGGTAATAAGGCCATGTTGATTTGATCAAGGACCATGGCATCCGCGAGATTTCGTCCGCCCCCCCCCCCCAAATTAAACCATGCTGTAAATCACACAAAGCAACTGCAAAACGTGCAAATATATGCTGCAATTTGCACAAGAAATATTAAAAAACGATAACGGTACGTAGTATACCAAAATCAATTCCAACGGAAAAGAAGAAATTGTGGAGAAATTGACATAATGAAGTCTATAATTCGCCATACCATACTCGTGTGTTTAGTCATTTGTTCAGCCTTTATGACCACGTAGATTTCATAATGAAGACAACTTTTTTTTTTGCCAAACTTTTTTTTATTCCCGCGCTCGCGTCAGTTTTGAGGTTTCCAAAGGATGTCATCCATATAATCAACGTAGCCTAACAGTTAATACTAGACTAACTACGCTGGATATCTATAGGAGAATATTTGCCAGGGGAGTTTGGCCGCCTTGTAGGTTTGACTGGGAAAGAAACTACCTCCCCGCGGCCGGACTCCCTTGGCCAATTTTACTCTCGATCTTTTTGCCGAATTCTAAGACCCGTACTCCCGTAGAAAGGCCTGGTGGAGGCTAGCCTAACAGGAAGGAAACTGCCCTGCAGTAACCTCACAGGGGGCGGGTCCGCTCGACTCAACATCACGTGTGCTGTGTGAACCTTTGGGGGGTCAAAGTAGAACCTTGCGCAGGCCACGATCTGACTGACTCGGGACTGTACAGCCGTAGTGTAGGTACCCGTTCAGGGCAGGAGACTGGAACAGGTGTATCGCTAAGGCGGGGAGACGTGGCTATGGCTGACGCGGCCGAACGGAAACCACTGTTGGGGGCAAAGTGAGTTGAGCTGAGGCCTAAAACGCACGTCTGTACTGTAGTGACGTTAAAGTTTCGGTCGTATGCCACAGAGGGACTAGAAATCATTTTCCAGTTCCGTGTAATGTTTCCCGAGTTCCCCTAGGGTTCATGAAACCTAGAAACCTCAAAATGGGGCGTATTTAAGTCTTAAGTGGAACATAAGTGGAGGTTCAGCAGCAGGAGCGATGGAATTCTAATACCGTACCTGAAAACAGGCCACTTAGCCTTAGCTCCCGTTTTCAGGTTTAAGCCGTCATATAGTGCTAAGTTGTTGTTGTCGAAATAAGTCCTGAGTTGCTTTTCTGTTCATTCAGTTCAGGGAGGCCTTTGGACTGGTATATACATGTCGGTACTTTATATAGCATTGGACCCTGGCAGTCTTGTGTGTGTTTAAGGCAAGTGAGTAAACAAGCACTCCTAACAGTGTGCAAGGTCTTTTTTCAGTTCAAAGGGACAAAGAACATGTGCAGGAAGTATATTTCGTTAAGTGTGGTAAAGCTTCTACTAAGCCTTTTCCCAAACTACTTGTAGGCCGCAGAGCCCTTCAAGTTTAACAATATTAACAAGTGGTCAATTTGATCCCTTTTGTACATACCAACATGAGATACTGACTTATATATATATACTAGTATTTACTCCTATATATTTGCTGTTTATTTCTTTTGAAGGTGCTCTGAATGATTCTTATTGTTCCCAAATTCTTTAAACACTTGTTACAGTGACTTTTAGCCCCAGTGTACAGTAAATCAGTCATATTTGATTTTGATAACAATTTAAAGTCATTGTAATGTCGGCTAAAGTAAAACAAGTGGTTGTGACTAGAAGAACTTTACGATTCAATCAATCACCAATCTGATGAAATTGTTTATGGGACTTTGTAGATATTATAGAAGTGTGTCATCTTTTCCAGCCCCCAGCAATCCTATGGTCAACAAGGACAACCTGGATACCCCCCTCAAGGACAACCTGGGTACCCCCCTCAAGGTCAGCCAGGGTACCCCCCTCAGGCCCAGCAAGGGGGGTACCCTGCGCCAGGGGGTACACCACCCCAGGTTGGTTTTGCACCAGGACAGCCACCCCCTGAAGGGTACCAGCAGGGGGGTGCCCCCCCTGCAGCAGCAGGCCCTGAACCCTCTGCACCATCCGTCGACAAGATGGACAGTATCTCTGGGTACGAGGGGGTCGGCTTTGGGTCAGGTAAGAACATAATGTTACACAAATATTTAAACATTCACATACAGACACATACATGTAGTATATATATTCCTTTCACTAGCATTTCTGTGTGAGACATTAATAGGCTAAAAGGCCACACCAATTTAATTTCTTGGTTAACGGATTTTTCTAGAAAAATAATGGAGCGAGCGGGCGAAAATGAAAAATAAAAACAGGCCTAGGCATCCTATTATGGCCCAAAATGGTATCATAGGAGCCATGAAGTCAACACACTAGGCTGGCTCAAAATTTAACTATGAATTTTGAACTTTTAATGATACCACTGCATTGAAAGATGGAATAACTGTAACAACTAGGATGAAAAGGACTGTTTTCAACAGTTACTGTTCAAGGCAAAATATGAGCATTTTGCAGTTGATTCTAAATTTTTATTTTTATTTGCAAATCAGAAAAAAATGAAGCGGGCGAATCCGTTAACCAAGAAATTAAATTGGTGTGGCCTTAGTGCACAGTATATGTACTTGACCTTTAGACCCATTTAGTATGAAAATCTATACTTGCAGGGCTCGAAATACCACAGCACATGCAATTCAGTGCAGGTAAAATTGAAGCTTTGCGGGTATTTCTGATATCTATGCACTGGTCCATACACATGTATGTATGTGGATGTTTATTTGCTTCATTGACTGTTACAACCAATGAAGTTAATAAAAAAAGAAATAATGAAAGATTCTTTATTGACACAACAAAAAAGTACAGGGACTTTTATATGGTCTTCTACTGTTGAACTTAAGATCTAACAAAGCTAAATACATGCGTGGATAACGTCAGCTTACGTACAGAGAATTATGTTCAGTAACAATAAAGGTTTAACTTATAATTCTCTAAGTGGTTTCTAAGATCGAAATAATAATAATGGCAATGGTTTCTGAACAGTTGTAGTAAGATCGATACTGACCTATTCCTAAATTTTGTGGTAATTAACAATATATGTATATGTACATGTATGCAGAAAAAACGTCACCTGCAACAGTGCAGTGCAGGTATGCAAAAATGACCTGTAAAATGTAAATTATGTTGTCAAATAACTGTAGCAAATGATGTTGTGCTCCCTACATGTCTTCCCCAGCCCCTCCCCTGCCCCCTCCCAGCTATGAGGAGGCCCAGAGACAGCCTCCAGAGAGGAGCAGTCTGCCACAGTGAGTATGGTCGTTTGTTTGTTTGTTTGTTTGAGACATTCTTTAATTCGTGAAAGCTCAAATTGGCATGCAATTTGCTTTTTATTGAGGTCATGAAGAAAGAGGTAAGGCCACACCAATTTAATTTCTTGGTTAACGGATTCGCCGCTTCATTTTTTTCTGATTTGCAAATAAAATAAAATTCAGAATCAACTGCAAAATGCTCGTGTTTTGCCCTGAACAGTTGAAAACAGTCCTTTTCTTACTACTTGTTACAGTCATTCCATCTTTCAATGCAGTGCTACCATTAAAAGTTCAAAATTCATTTTTTAAATTTTGAACCTGAGCCTGGTGTGTTGACTTCATGGCTCCTATCGTACCATTTTGGGCCATAATAGGATGCCTAGGCCAGTCTTTTTATTACCTCCATGAAATGGAAGGTATTGTTTTTGGCGCGTCTGTGTGTGTGTGTGTGTGTGTGTGTGTGTGTGTGTGTGTGTGTGTGTGTGTGTGTGTGTATGTGTGTTTGTGTTTCCGCTTTTTTGTACCTTCATAACTCCATAACGCATTTATGGATTGTGGTGATATTTGGTATACTGGTAGGTGTTAGGGGGGCGAAGGTCAAGGTCAAATATGGGCCTCCTGGTGGATGGCCTTGGTACTGCAGCAGCACTTCCGGTTTAATGAGGAGTCTGCCAGACAGGGTAACAGATGTCTGATTGTGTCGAGGCTGCCCCGGGCTTACGACCTGGTTTGATTAATGAGAGGTTCTTCCTCAGGGAATAAGGCGACCTCTGTGCGCTATGATGTGGAAAATTTGAGTGTTAGGGTGGATGGACACCCAGTGTTGACGTAATTTTGGCACTGAGATCTAGTTACCTCCATGAAAATGGAGGTATTGTTTTTGGCGCGTCTATGTGTGTGTGTGTTTGAGTTTCCGCATATTTGTAGTCAGCATAACTCCATAACGCCTTTATGGATTGTGATGATATTTGGTATGCTGGTAGGTCTTAGGAAGCCAAAGGTCAAGGTCAAATATGGGCCTCCTGGTGGATGACCTTGGTACTGCAGCAGAACTTCCGGTTTTCGTATCTTTTGTCCTGAACATGTTATGGTCTTGATTTTTGGGTGACAGATAGATTGTCCTGCCAGGAATAATTGGTGTGGGTTTGGTCCCCCTAGCAGCTTGTTCTGGAACTGCAGGGGACTTTTGGGGGAAAATCTTTAAAAGCCAATAGGTCCAGACAGGAACAATGTATTTTCATCATTTTTGGTAGGTAGGTAGCTGTGAGAGATGTACATAACTTAATGCAAATTATGCAAATGAGGACTTTATTTGCATAATAAATGAGGAAATTCTCTAATTACAGTGTTTTACATTGTAGTACTTTAATACATGTAATGTATGTAATCTTTGGCAGATGGAACATCAACAGATACCAATAATGCAAATTATGACCTCATTTGCATAATTAATGCGAAAATTCAATGGGTAAATGATGGGAATTTCCTACTTGGTGTAAATTGTAAATTCATCAAAAGTTAACATCACGATACATTAATTATGTTAATGTGGAGGTCATTTGCATAATTAAAGAGGAAATTTACATTTACACGTCAAGCCCATATTTCATGGAGGTATGTGATCTCAGATCTCTTGTTTTTTTATTTTTTTTGCCCACCCGCTCCATTATTTTTCTAGAAAAATCTGTTAACCAAGAAATTAAATTGGTGTGGCCTAAGGGTGACAAAATAATTAAGTTAACATCATTCCAAGTCCTAATCTGGTATATGGTAAGACAAAAAAAAGGCTTATGGAAAAGCTGTCCATCTGAGACTTTTTTTTTCTTCAGTACAAGTACAGGTGGACTTTGTTCCCCACCTGCATCTCAAGTTAGTATCACCTGGTAAATTAGTAACTACAAATTGCATAAAATAGATAACAATTTTAGCAGGAAAATTGCACTCAAGGCTGTTTGTAGGGAATTCTTTCACTTAGGCCACGCCAATTTAATTCGTTGGTTCTCGGATTTTTTCAGAAAAAATATGAAGCGACAGGGCGAAAAAAAATAAAAATAAAAACAGGTCTATATATATAGGCATCCTATTATAGCCCCAAATGCTACGACATGAGCCATGAAGTCAACACAAAAGGCTGGGTTAAAATTCAAACTATAAATTTTGAACTTTTAATCAAACCACTGCATTGGTAGAAGGAGGAACTGTTACAACTAGGAAGAAAAGGAATTTCCTCAACTGTTGGGGGCAAAATATGAGCATTTTTGAGTTGATTCGGAACCAGAATCTTTTTTTTTTTGAAAATCAGAAAAAATGAAGAGGCGAATCCGAGAACCAACAAATTAAATTGGTGTGGCCTTAAGAGCTTTTGAAAATATTTCAATAATAAGGCCACACCAATTTAATTTGTTGTTTCTTAGATTTGCCTCTTCATTTCTTTCTGATTTGAAAAAAAAATTCTGGTTCTGAATCAACTAAAAAATGCTCATATTTTGCTCCCAACAGTTGAGGAAAGTCCTTTTCTTCCTAGTTGTTACAGTGTTTCCATCTTTTAATGCAGTGGTTTGGTTAAAAGTTCAAAATTCATTGTTTAAATTTTATCCCAGCTTTTTGTGTTGACTTCATGGCTCCAATCAAAGCATTTGGGGCTATAATTGGAAGCCTAGGGCTGTTTTTATTTTTTTTTCGCCCTGTCGCTCCATATTTTTTCTGAAAAAATCAGAGAACCAACAAATTAATAAAATTGGTGTGGCCTAAACAATAGATTACACAACAATGCAGCTTTCAGGGTGTTGCTAAGTTTCACACAAGATTATGTGAGATATTGTGCTTTATTCATTTACATTGTTTCATGTCCACATTACAATTTACTGTCAACATTGTGTCACAATGCCTACTTACATGTAATGTACTACATGTACATGTAGTATACATCTCTATATCCTGGTTTACTGTCTACCGGATGTGCTAGTCATATGACACTATAAAATCACAACATTATCATATCATGCACTGCCGCCATTTTGGAAAGTTCTGTTTCCCATGTTACGCAATGATTCTATAACCTCCATGGCAACTTGTCCATCTGAAACACTGAACAGGTGAAATTTGATTCACACATTGTCATCCATAATATACCTTTATCTAATATTTTGAGTTTATGAGTTTGCACATTTAACAAAACAGACAATAATGATACAAAACAAGGATAAAACAGGTGCAGGAGGAGGGGAGAAGCATGGAATGCTTATATAAATTTTACAACCTCTTATGTAGCTAAGTATCAGTAACTTTCTTTGACAAGCATAATTATGCATTTTTCCATAACTATGCCATTCCTTTGTGGAATCATCCCCAAGTATATTGTATGTGACCGTAATTACTAGTACAAGCCCCCCTTTTTTTACAAGCCTTAGGGTATCTGCTTGCCCTTTTCCTTTAGGTGTAGTGAGCCATTTTAATTGCCTGTTATTCATAGCCAACCGCCAAAAGGAAATTTTCTTGAAGCGCAATTATTGGTAAATTTCATTCCACATAGCATATGCTTTATTATCCATTTTATTATCCTGAATTCATTGCAACAATCCATATTGAAAAATTCTGTCCTGCCAAATTTTTCATTGACAATTACCCTCCTACATGTAATTATTAAAAATAAAGCATTGCCAGGATCCCCCCATGCAGACCCCCTTAATAGCTTTGAAGTCGGTTCCAGAGGTCTGATTACCCCAGAAAACAAGTGTAGACTCAAGAACATTTTCAAGACTGTAAAGACCAAACTACCCAAAAACTTTTTCAATGACATTAGCCGTACCGCACTGACAACATCATATGCAATTTGGATCTCTAGACACGAACCGTGTTGGGATGTACATGTAGAAGTGCTGTGATTATAGTTTTTACCTTGTACACGCCGTGAATAACAGTATTTCATGCCGGGCAGTAGCCGCTGACCTATACAGTGCAATAAGCCAAACAACACAAACTGTGCAATATACTCTTTGTAATGCTATTCTTTTATTGAAAATAATTACTACAGTAACACTTTTTTTAAAGAATGTTCAATTAATATATAGTTAATCCCAGATTTTAAACCTCTTGTCACTAAGTTTGATCAATTTAAATGTCATCTGTGAATATCATAGTCGTTGTCATTGTTAATGTTGTCCTGCATGCTCGGTCATTACTGGCTGACATGACCTGACCTGGAGTTCTTGTATATTTCTTGTTCACTGAATAAAGAATGATTTACACACATGATCTATGATTTGCGCTAATTTGCAGGCTGCCAGGTATAACAGAGGAGGATGCTCGTGAGGCCCTGGGACAGTATGTAGCAGAACAGTGCTGCTATGGGAAGTCTCCTGCTCAAGAACTCAAGTTCACAGACATCGTACCTTCAAGTGCATTCCACGTAAGATTAATTTTGATATTATAGTGTACTAATGTGCTCTCTTTTAGTCTACAAGAGCAACAAGAGAAAAACAATGGAGTGATTTGAGAGCTTATTTAAAACGTGTTGTGGATCCCTTTTGAATGGAATTATAACAAGAAGCCATAGGTGACAATTCTCCGTGAAGTATTATATATTGCAACAAAAAGAAGTAGCCATTGGCGACAATTCTCTGTGAAGTGTGATAAATCGAACAAAGAAAAATTGTTTAAACGCGCGTCGGCTCAGTCATCTTAAGACGCAACAACCGATCAGAGATGCGAGATGCCTACACGTGACGCGGGAAGGGCGCGCGATGCCCGAAATATTTTTGCGTCAATATTCAGCGCCGTGATTCAAGAGATTAATACCCGGAAACAATTTTTTTCTTGTTTTGAACGCATTAACATGCATTTACGCTAATCTAGTATGATTCAGGGTTACTTTTTTTTTAACCTGGCATGGCCAGATTATCTAAAGATGTGTGTATTGTGTGTACAATCTATAGAAAGAGAAATGTACATCAGGTCCGATCATCCGATTTTCACGTTTCGGTTTTTTGGACTCGGTTCATGAACGTATTTTGGTTTGGCTCCTGGAATGTGCGAAAAAAATGACTCCCGGGACTGTCTACAGGGAACACTCGCACATTCGCGGTGTATCAGGACAGCGCGACTGGTCGTCATTAGCGCAGTAACAGTTGCATAAACGGACGAAACCATTTCAAAGAAATGGGGATGTTTCGAAAATAAGCATTTACTCCAATATCAAAACAGCTACGGTAAAAATAAAAAGACGTGCATCATCCCGGACATAATGCAACACCACATGCGAAATTACACAGAAATGCGACGTACGGAAGAATGCGTTTTGGCTGCGAACATCTTCCAAAAAACTTGGCATCTCTTAACCATGGGCAAAAACATCTGGAACCACTTATAAAAACCACCCCGTATCTGCATGAACTTTTTTGAACCCCACTGCTATTCCAAACAACGCGTTTTTCTGGACCATTCCAATTCGCCTCGTAATTGTAGGGGTGCGTCTGCGATATTACATTGACCGCGAAAGCAGCAACGGCAAAAATACACATTCGTGCATCAACACGGGCATGCCCGCAGACGGCGTATAAAATTGCGTGCCGATTACACAAAGAGAACCCAGTGTTTTGACTGCGAACATGAAAAATCAGCCGATTACAACACTCCGTCCGGAGGTCCTGACCTCCTTCACGGAGTAATAATGTTGTAATGTGATATTGAATATTCAAAAATTAATTTGCTTTCCATAATATTTTTTTTTCCTTCTTCTTTAGTACACATTGGAAACATTTGCTGAGGGCAGGTCAACTGCCTGGGCATATGAACCTTTCAAAGGTAAAATTTACAATTCTGCATTGTTTAAAGTTAGTGCACCTGTTGTTTTTGTCGCTAGATATAGGTTTACACCTTTGTTTATTTATTTATTGATGACGATTTTCCACATACATTTGTAATGAATGTCATGATGGTACAGGTATTTATATTAACACACCTTTTCAATGCCACCATACCTACAAGGCCATCATAACATAAAATCATTATTAGAGATAATACATTATTTTTACATATTATCATTACATTACAATTACAATAATATTACAGCGTTAAAAATACATGTAAAAACACTTATCGAGGCCTTGTAGTATGGCAAGTGGCACTGACTATAGCCACAAACAAGGCAGATCTGATGGTTGAATCTGTTCAATATGGTTGAGAGGAGCTTCCTAAAGGCAGCCATATCTATGGGACTTTTTGATTTCCAGGCCAGCCCATCGATGGTCCGATGAACGGCCCGGCTCCAGGACCGTGGGACATCCAGGCTCAGGCTCCTGCCATGTTCCAGAACTTCACCCAGCAGGTGGAGGTGCCTCATACAGCCTCTGTCAAGGTCAGCTGGGATCTACTGCAGACAGTGCATGCATGATTCTCAGCGACTGGTCTCCTTTTCACATACAGTCAAAACAGTTCTTCGTGTACAAGTACAGTCTAACCTGTCCAAGCCAGCCACCCAGGGGACCAAGGAAAAGTGGCCACCTTGGACAGGTGGTCTCCTTGAAGAGGGTTGCCTCACAACATGACTGAGTCATAAATGGTTTCCAAGTCAAGATGTTCTGATGTCAAATGCTGTAAAATAGTGTAAATGCATGTGGGGAGGGTGGCACATGGAACAATTTACCTCGAACAAACACATCATCCAGCAGTCAAGGAAAACTGGCTGGTTTCTCTCATTAGTTATCAATTCAATAATCAACATGATAAAACATGATGTGGTCAATATGTCACCATGGGCAGGTATCAGGCCTTGAGCAGACCCAACTCACGGCGGTCGCGGTTGCATTGGCCAGGTGGTCACCTTGGACAGGTTGCTTAATGCTTGTGTCAATGGGGAAAATTTTTGGGACAGAGAAAAAGCGGTCACCATGGACAGGTGGCCAGCTTGAAGAGGTGGTCACCTTGGCAGGTTTGACTGTATGTCCACAGGTAGTCAGGGTAGAGAGGATTCTTAATTGTTAATTCTTACTTGTGTCAATTGGAAAATCATCTAAGGGATCACTAAAAAGTCCGGTCACAGAGGTGGTCTAGCCTGGGTGCCATCCATCCTCAGTAGTATCTATTGGCTCCCTGATGTTGCTGGCTAGCCAGTGACATTGTGGAGCGGTGGAAACTACAGAGGATGCCACCCAGGCTACAGGTGGTCACTTAACAAAATTTGAAGTGAAGTATTTCTTGATCATAATGTCCTTATTGTTGCATTTCATGTTTCCTACTATTGTAGCCATGTCACACCTGTCTTGGACTGGGGAGGAAGCCTTGCCACCACTGCCATGCCACTGGGACTGTAAGTGACATAGTCTTTCCAGAGCTCTGCCTGCAATGTACTACAATCATATAGAACCTAAGACATGCTAGGATATGTGAATGGACTAATTACATTGCATTATGCTTCTGGCATCAAGGGCTAATGAGGTGTTCTAGCCAGTGTCTTTTCTTTATGCTCATGCTCATGACGGACAAAAAGTTTGCCCAGTCCGTCACCTTTGAAGGACAAAATCGGTGTGCAAAGATAATATTATTATAAGTCATTGAAATAAACTTAGTCTACCAGCAAAATTCGCCCCTCAAAATGCAGGAAATATTGTTTCTCAGAGGGTCAAGATTTTAAAATTTCACAGGGGAGCATGTCACTGGATTATGATTTCCATGCCTTTGGTGCTCGACATGTATGTCAAATAAGATTGAGATGACAGAAAAATATTTTGTGCTGGCTAGAACATTGGGCTAACCATTGCCTGACAGTTGCAGTCATACACTTGGGTTGCACCTGCAGTAACACCTGCAGTAACACCTGCAGTAACACCTGCAGTAACACCTGCAGTAACACCTGCAGTACCACCTGCAGTACCACCTGCAGTAACACCTGCAGTAACACCTGCAGTAACACTTGCAGTAACAACTAAGAAAGAAGGCAGTAGGTTATGATAATTTCTAACAGTGGTTTGATGTATGTACCAGAGCCACTGTCACCACTGCCACGGGAGCGGCCGCACAACTGTGTACGAGGACGGACACCATCACCACAGGTGCTGCACCTGGTGCCATGGATCAGGCAGGAGACAGTGAGTCTGTCCTAATACAGTACTATTGTTAATAGGATCACAGAGTTACTGGTAAAGGCAATCCAATGCAACTGCAGGGTGTGAAAATGAAAAATATCTTGCATGAGGAAATCTGTCTGATATTGACATTTACTACCATTTCAGCACATTCTGTCATAAATTCTTACATCAATTCAAGCATTTGAAATTACCTAAAACAAAAAAAGCAATGGTTGCCTTTTTCTGTCGGCGACATCACATTTTTGCCTCAAAGATATCAGTATGGTATGCGATTGATTCAACTTACTACAATAAAAGAATGACCAGGAAATAAACTTAAAAATCCAGTTTTGTCACCCTGAAATTGCATTGGATGTTGTTAAACTCTACAATATATATATAATATATAAAGATATTGTGACACAAGTTAGAGATCAGTGACTATTCCCTGCTTATTTGAAATGGAAGGATGTTGCAAGGCAACATTTAAAAATCTTAAGAAAACAAGTCATGTTAAAGATCCCACCACACTTCTCAAAAAGAGCAGGGGTTCCCGGTGTGAGTGGTTCAAACCTTACAGTGTGGTCTAGGGTGGTGATAGTCACCTGTTACGTCAATCCCTCCCCAAATGTGGTAAATCTTGAAGTACATAAAAATGTAAATGTCTCTCCTGTTCCAGGTGCCACCAGTGCCATGGTCTGGGTCAGATCCCCTGTCCCACATGTGGTGCCCAGGGACAACTCAAGTGTTACATCAAACTCACCATCAAATGGTAAGGTACAATGTACAAATGTACATCGATATCAAACACACACCTTAGTCATGTCAGATGCACTTCTTAAAAGTTGCAATAAGTTCTTTTGCTTCTTGACATCTTTTTTATGTAGCACGTTTTTTTTTGTCATTTGGTCATAAAACTTTGTCCCACCTGACTATGCAGGATCAACCACGTGGAAGACCACATAGTTGAGCGGACGGCTTTGCCTGATGAGCTCATCAGGGGAGTGAGTGGGCAGGTGGCCTTCAAGGAGGAATATCCAAGGGTAAGACAGTCTAAGATTCTGTAATAGTCTTCACTACGTAACTGCTAAGTACCCAATACTAGCTCAGAAGAGAACATGTACAAGAAATAGTCAATTTTATAGACATTCCTTCAAGTACCAGAGTTACAAATGTATCAACCAAGGATTGAGGTGTTAAGAAACTACTTTTTCCCTAGAACTATGAATCATAGAATGGAACTTTCTGCCACCAAGTACAGTAGAGGCATCCTCAATAGATTTAAACAGAGTTCAGAGTTACATGTTCAAACTAAAGGCTAGATGCAATAAGTCCTGTGGTGTAATATAGCCAGCTGCCGCCGCGCCGCATGCCTGTGAAGCTGGTGTGTTACACTAAGGGGCAGTTATACTGGCTATATAGATACAGATATATTGTGGTTGCGCTACTTGTCTGGCCACAAGACCGCGCTAACTGTGATATCACTGCTGGCTACATGTATATAAATGTCGTTATTTGTTGTCTCAAATCAATAACTCTCACAATGTTAATAAGTTGACTTGCCTTGTAGTTTTAAGTTTATTCATTTGTTTCTCAAATTGTATTATGTGATTTGATTACTTTTTGTATTCTTTTGTCATTTTATTGGTATGGCGGCTTTGAAAAGGTGTCTCATGTCAGAAACACCTGTTTCGCCATGCCATCCACAGTGTATATTGTACGTGGTCGTGGTACAACTTAAAGCTTAACAGATGTAAGCAAGAGTAGCACCACTAAATAACACTGTTCATTCAACTTTGCCATTATTTCCCCCCAGGTATGGCCCATCAACCACTTCCCTGAGGCAGAAATCAACAACGCCTCTCAGAACCTGGTGCAGAGGCACAGCACTGCCTACCCAACCGAACGGCTAATCATGCAGGTAGGCCAAAGTTGTTATTTTTTTGCTGATGATGTTACAATTTTTTGTTTAGGGACACCAAATTTTGGTGCGTTTTGCATTGAAATGTGTGTTTTCTTGAGTGGGAGGATGATAATAAAAAAATAAAATACAACACGGTGTATGCCATATCACCCTCAGTACCTGAGCCCTTCCATGGGTTGGATTCAGGCGATCTGACCCACAGTCGGGCTGGTACCTCGTAATCTCCAAGCATCTGCCACTCAAGATCTGCTGAAAGACAGAAGCATCCATGCATCATAAACCTAATCACTTCAACACATTACAAACATTTTACAAGTACATTTAGAAGTACATGTGCGAACTGCGAAGCTGCAGCCAAAAAAATGAATCCCTCCCCCTCCTCAAAAACTTAACTGTCTGGCAAATGGATACTGCATTTCCAATTTGACGGAATACATTGTTTTGTATTCTCCATCTCTTGGACTATGGTTCAAGTAGGCTATAAGATCTTCAACATATTACAGTTATGTCCTACATTATGATGTAAATGATGCTGTTACAGTAATATGACATGTTCTTCCAGCGTCACCAGGTGAGGATCATCCCTGTAGCGGAGGCGACCTACAACTGGAAGGACCAGCCCTACAACTTCTTTGTGTACGGGTTTGAACATAAGGTCCACGCCCCGGACTACCCTCAGAAGTGCTGCTGGGGCTGTAACATCCTGTAGATGTCAGTTTGCGGTCTCCACCAGACTAACAATGCCAGTTCTAAAACAGTAAGATTTAGCCAAATAGGGAGAATTATTATGCAGCAAGTTTAAACTGTAATTTCCAACAAAAGAAATTGAACTCACCCAAATTTCCGACTGTACAACTCCAGTCTTTGTTAAGGAATGAGCAATCCACCGCTTCCGTGACGTCACGCAGATAACACACGTGACTCCGTGAGCAGAGAATCATAGGTTGCAGAAAGTCTGTGGCGCCCCCCGTCTCTGTTGAGGGATGGTTGTAATGCCCTGATGTAGATGGCCTCTTTAAACCCTCGTGCAAAGAAGTCTGGCTCCGAGTCCAAGATCCTTACTTTGTCCAGTGAGACTGAATGACCAGGCATTAAACTTGCTGCATAGTGACTCCTACCAACACAGATGAACTTTCAAGATAGGGAGAATTATTGGCCTGGGGAGTTTAGCCACCACAGAGTTCAATTGCCCAGTTAGGAGGAAATTGACCCTCCTGCGGACTGACTCTCCTGGCAAATTATTCCCCTTTTTTGCCAAATTCTAGTCTGTACCCCGTAGTAAGGCCTTGGTGAGGCTAGGTTTTTACTAGCATTTGCCCGGTGGAGTTCAACTTCGGAAGGCTTACTTACCATCCTATCTGTAATGTAGGAAAGTCAGGGATATTTCTGTGTAAGGAATTACAACCAGTGAGAGACTTACCAGCATCCATAGTACTAGTAGCGTCTTTGGCTGGTGTGCTGGATTACACTCACTTATTTTCAGATTAGGCCACACCGATTTAATTTTATGGATGACACCCTCTGAAGACCCCCAAACTAGTGCGCGCGGGCGAATAAAAAAAAATTCCGGCCAAAAATAAAAATGCTACTAAACAAAGCTGGTGTTGTGAATTTACGGCAGGTCTTAGCGAGGTATACGACAAGCCGGCACATGCTGGCTTTTTTTGCGGAATTTATGAATCGGTACTGTCCCCATGTACTGAGTTCTTGAGTCGTGTAGCTTCAAATTCGATAGCCTGGGTGCTTGGATCTGTATTCTCACTAACTACCATGGTCTACCCAGGCCTACAGCCAGGCCAGAACCTCGGTGGACGTGATTTTTTTTTGAGGGCGACAGGCGAAAATCAATGCGCGCGCGGATGTCATCCATAAAATTAAGTCGGTGTGGTCTTACTACATGTAGTACTTGCTGTGTATGAGTATAAACAGCACAGAATAAATCAAAACACAGGCCACGGAACCTGCTAATGCTAGGCTATAGGTTTTACCATAAAAGGAAGTGCCAAGAAAAATTACAGTTGCTATGTTGTACAACTTTTATAATCTAAAACCCTACTGATACATTCAAAATAGTGAGGTGGCAGAATCACGTTGAATCATTTAACCAGGATGTTAAATTAATATATTACCCAAACTAGATTTAGTTCCTGATTATTCACTTTTTTACAGATTACTTTTTATAATCTATTGCCAAAGTAATTTTGACTCTATTTCATGTATGTGCAAAATATAATTTTGTACATGTGTAAGTGGATTAACAGAGACCAGAATTTTTTTCACAAGAAACTTTGGGGACAAGCAAATCTACAATGCCTTTGGCTGTCATGTGAAACCAGTTTTAACTAGTTGAAACACTTCCAAGACTGCTGATATGAACATTTAATTTCTCAGAACTACTTTTGGGACTTTTTCTAATATGTGTAACACTTTCTCTGGACCAATCATATCTGGTTTGTGAATTTATAAAATTAATGTAGGGTTGAAATGGACCACTCTACACCAAGCATATCAGTTATGAATAAAGAAATGTACTGAGTACCTTACCATATCTATGCCTATTAGGCATTGCTTGTATAACTAAAGCAAACTCATGAAAGCAAATGTATATCATTACTATTCCTTGTCTCTCAATTTTCATAAGGAATTAAACCTCTTTAATTGTTACGGACTGTGTTGTGTTATTCATTTTAAAAAAGTAGTACTAGTATCCTTGGAGAATTCAGCAACTTTGTCATTCGAAAGCTCAATTGTATCTTCTATACTGTGAATTAAAAAGATACGTACATTCTCATAAGGCCATATGTTGATTTGATTATATGGATGACATCCTCTGGGAACCCCAAAACTGATGCGAGCGTGCAAATAAAAAAAAGTTTGACCAAAAATTTTACCAGCAAAAATTATTATGAAATCTATGTGGTTTTGAAGGTTGAACAAATGACACAGTATGGTTTGGCAAATAATCTAGTCTTCAAATTAATTTTTTTTTATTTACATTTTTGTCTTTTTCGTTTGATTTTGGCATTCTACGACATTGGTATCATTTTCCAATGTATTTTTTTCAACTTACGGTATATTTTTGCTCATTTTGCAACTGTTTTGTACGATTTACAGTATGGTTGAAAACTTTTTTTTTCTGAAACGGCCTAAAATTCATGCGCGCGCGGATGTCATCCATATAATCAAATCAACATGGCCTAATCATTTAAAACTAGGATGCAGAACTACTGAATAAAGCCTCAGACTCAAACAATTTCACACAGAACATTTTATTGAATGTATGACCAGCCAGGAACACACATACCAGGCAGATATCTCTTTTCAAGTTTTACTATTCAAAATCTTCCAGGTTCAACTGGCAAACTGACAAAATACTGAAATCTCAGCTTCCCATTTTCAGAAGTTCCCCCTCTTATATTACAGGAAATCTTATTGTGCCTAAATACTTCGCAACGATTTGTGCATGTTGTAATGATCGTAATATCAATCTTTTTGTTATGAAACATAAGAACAAAACGTCATGTGAAACTTCAGATGACTATAGTTTTATGACTATAGTCACGGAGTCACGTGTGTTATCTGCGTGACGTCACGGAAGCGGTGGATTGCTCATTCCTTGACAAAGACTGGAGTTGTACAGTCGAAAATTTGGTTGAGTCCAATTTCTTCTGTTGGAAATTGGTTTAAACTTGCTGCATAATGACTTCTACCAACATGAACTTTCAAGATATGATACTTTTGATGCACAAAGGTGGTATACAAGACTTAGTTTCTGCATTATTTTCTGCATTTCTGTAATATCTGGAGCTTCGACTTTTGACTTGAATAGTAGAAATCTAAGAGGGGAGAGGAGGAACATCTCAGGAGAGCTGAGGGGACCCACAAGTGTTCTACTACAGAGCAGCAGCACCAGAAATGATCTCGATCAACTCTCCGGTGATGACGGCCTGGCGGGTACGGTTGAAGGTCAATGTCAGCTTGTCAATCATCTCCCCTGAAATACAGGAAAAGTCAGTCAGTGAAAGTAGCATCTTACACTTAAGCTTGCTAAATCCTCGGTCACAACCCGCCGTACGTGCTTATGTCCGTACGTTTTTTGGGAGGCTACGTCTGCTACGTTTTTCTGAAAACGTGGGGAAGGAGTGGCATCGACGCACGTCACTCGCACGGTTGCACAAGGTGAAAGAGTGTGGTCTGCACGCCACGTCTGGCCGTGAGCGGTTGCGTGCATCGTACGTTGCGCAAGTGGTGAGTTGTACGTGCTTACAACGTGCGATCTCTGTGCGACTTTACTGTAAGGAGGTCGTACTCACACGTGCTTCCACCATACGGTACGTACGGGGCACACGCGTAGCTCGAACTCGCACGCACGGGTGGTGAATCCGCAGACCGCACGTAGAAAAAGTTTTACATGCACTTAATGTTCTACGGCGTGTCTGCGTGCTCCCAAATCCGTAGGATTGCATACGGAGGTGGTACTCACCACGCACGGATGCCCTACGTTTGCCCACGTTTTCGCACGTAGACCACACACAGATGCACGTACGGCGGGTTGTGACCGAGGCTTAAGCTGGAGCCTGCAACCAGCCCACCAAAGTTTGGAATATGTGACTGCACATCAGCCTATACTTTCTAGAGATTGACTCTTGAATAATCAGTGCTCTAGCCAGCATCTGTCTTTCCAACATTTGACTGAGTTTTGCTGATCATGACGGACAAAAATTTTGCCCAATCTGTCATCTTTGAAGGACAAAAAACAGCATGTCAAGATTGGGAAGAGATGTAATTACTGGGTAAACTAAGCTTAGTCTACGAACAAAATTTGCCCCTCAAAATACAGGAAGTACAATGTAGTGTGTTTCAGAGGGTTGAGATTTCAAAATTTTCCAGAGGGGGGCATACCCACAGACACATTTTTTTTCCTAAAGGCCCCCCAAGTTCTCCACAATCTACTTGCCTTCTACAGGGGTCCCAACAAATTCATTAGAATTTTACGGAATTCATATGATCCTTACTAGGAAACATACAAAGCTTACGGAATACATACGATCCATTACTAGAAACATACAAATTTTACCAAATACGTACGATCCATTACATGGAAACATACGATCCTTACTAATTTGGTGACTTGCACCATGATCACGTGACATCGGCAGCAAATTCAAGATGGTGGACTATTAATATTATAGCGATGTTCTCCGTAGAATATCTTGGTTTCAAAGAATTTTAAGGGCTTATCCTGCGCTGCTAAACCCCAAACTGCACTTATGTGGGCTTCTTTCACGACATAGTAGCCTGTATTCTAGACCAAATAGCAGGGCGAGGCTGGGAATTGGCGGAACCAGTGATCAAGGCGGCAAGTCACCAAATGACCCCAAATTAGTAAGGATCCCATGTTTCCGCGTAATGGATCGTATGTATTCCGTAAAATTCATATGTTTCTGGTAATGGATTGTATGAATTCCGTAAAATTCTGATGAATTCTTTGGCACCCCTGTTGTAGATTTCCTACAGCATTCAATCCTGGTATCATACCTGCGTTCTTGGTGGCGCTGTCCATGGCTGTCATTCTGGCACTGTGCTCACAGCAGTTGGTCTCCTTCATGCAGGCGTACAGCACGCTGGCCAGCTGGTACTCCTGGTAGCTGCGAATCACCTCTGCATCCAGGCTGTCATACACGGCCAGCGAATCTGAAGCACGATACAAATATACTCTAAATCACCATTTATTTGCAATATTATTTTATATTCGTGGTTCTTGCGGTCACTTCTGTACTGCAAACTTGTTATTACCATGAAAAAATAATTCAATTTCTTTTTTGCTGCACCTTTCGCCACTGCGAATGTATAGTTCCACGAACATGTCCATTTTTTCAGACCACAAACTTTTGCTATGGTGAACATTAAGTAATTTACAGTATCCTAGAGATTTTTGAATCACCATACTTGGATATATGCATTTTTCTGCTGTTATATTTATATCAATCCTTGTATTATCATACCCAAAAAGTACAGTTTCTTTTGGATACCATACCCAATGTCAAAGTTATATATACCTTGCTTTCTTTGCACTTCATTGTTCTTAGTTTTCTATTATCAACACACACTAATTACACTAATCAACAGTTCTTTTACAGAATGTTTGCCTCACCTGCTTCTGACACACTTTGTAGGGAGTGAAGTGGCACCGGACGTAGGCTATACGACACAACAGACCTGCAACGGAAACAGTGATTGTGTTTGATCATACCATGTCTCAATCTTCTGTTTGCTCTTGTTTGTAATATGGGCCAGGGCCAAGGGGCCTGAATGAAAGAATACTAGTAAATAAATGAAATAAAATGAGTATTTCTTCTTACTTGTACTCATTGAAGTAGATCTGTCCTACATCAAACTCATAGCCACTGTTGATGATGGACTCTGCTACATCTGCAGCATCAGAAAAAGAGGCGGGCTGTCTGCCGAACTCACTAAAGGTCAGCATGAAATAACCTGGATGTGTCCTGTATGGAAACAGAAGACAAATACGGAAACCGGATTAAATAATGTATACTTAGTCTAGTAACTTTGTTTTATCCAATATTCAGGAGCAGCCACAAAGACCCATGTTCACTGTATATGCAATTAATATGGCCAATATTACTACAAATAGTGATGCATACCTAAACCCAATTTTAGGTTCAGGTCCGGATTCAAGTCCAGAGGTTTAGGTTCAGTTGCATATAGAAAATTGCATGTTGGCAACCTTGCAATGTTGTCTGGGTGAAACTTTGGCCACATAACATGGAGGCCGGAACTTAACGATGCCCGATGGCAATGTTTTCTTCATTTTGCAGCAAAGATTTTACAATCTAAGGAAGGTTTTAGGTGGTTTGGAAAGAAAAGGGGTATGTGATATGGTCTTTTATGGTAATAAGTCCGGACTCGGTTCTTGACTTTTAGGTTTTTTTGGACTTGATCCTAAACATTCTTACAAGTCCAGATCCAAGTCCAGTGAACCGGTATGCATCACTAACTACAAATATACATGTTATTATACTAAGTAACAGTGCAACCAACTAAAAAAAAAGAAAATTTTAAATTGTCAATTTATCACTCACATAAAAGTTGCAGACTAACAAATAAATGTGATTTCAGGCACCCTTTGTTTGTTAGAATCTTTATTTTCTGTAATTTGTGATTTTTCGCTGACTTTTGCACCCACAAAACTGTATTGTACAAGTTGGATAACTAGAGATTGACAAAGCCTAATGTTAATTTTCTGCAATTCAGGATTTTTTTGCAAACTTTTGCTCCCACAAAACTGTATTGTACAAGTTGGATAACTAGAGATTGACAAAGCCTAAACTTTTTTTCTGTAATTCACGATTTTTCGCTCACTTTTGCTCCCACGCAACTGTATTGTACAAGTTGGATAACTAGAGATTGACAAAGCCTAAACTTTTTTTCTGTAATTCACGATTTTTCGCTCACTTTTGCTCCCACAAAACTGTATTGTACAAGTTGGATAACAAGAGATCGCCAAAATCTAATAAAAAAATGAAAAAAGATAATCCCTTCCTACCAACCCTAATTTTGCCAGGACTGAAACAGGAAACACAACATGTTTTCCCCTGGTCTTATAGATGTATTTGAACACCTACTTGTACAGGGCTTGGCGTGCCTTGTCTCCCAGTGTGATGAACTTGACTTCCTTGTCTGGGTTGTCCTTGACATAATTCTTCAGCAGCTTGTTGATGTTGGAGTTCATGGCTCCACACAGACCACGGTCACTGCCCATCGTCACCAGCAGGTGTTTGGGCTTCTCCAGGTCCTGGCCTATATCCACCTTGTCATAAAATGCTGGGAAAATGTTGGACAGTTAATTGATGATTTGCATTAATTAATGTACCAATCAGTTTGGCAAATGATTGAATAGCAAAATTCTTTATTCTATTCAACACACCATCTTGTACAAGTGAAATTGGAGGGGTGCACGTAATATCTGACTGCACTAATGTAGCAGTGCAAGTAGCTTCATAGACTATTGCAACCTGGACTACTAGAAATATCCAGTAAAGGAAGAAAATTTAATGTGAAGAAAAAATAGTAAGGCCTAGGCATTGTGTTTCCTGTTTCAGTCCTGAACAAATTAGGGTCAGTCTATAGCCGTAGTATAGGGATAATCTTTTTTTTTTTCCTTTTTTTTAGACTTCATCAGTGATATCTATATATTATAGCTAGGGGTCCAACTTTTTCTAGGCTTAGTCGGGAAACAGGAAACACAACATTTTTTTTCCTAGGCGTAACTGTTTCCCATTTGCTATATACAATGTATATATGGAAATGCATCTATCAACTGCTCCTTATGGGCCTTAGACAGCATGTACTGATCAGGCTGAGATTCAGAGAAGTGAACTGTTTATACAGTGTAGATAGAATCTGTGCTAACATTCTACTAGTACTTGAAGCTTTGTGTTGTGCAAATAAAAAATGTGCAACACATTTTTTACCACAAATGTAATTTAACTTTTTAAGCACTGCATGTATATCTGAAATTCTTCAAGTACCAGGTATATAAGTGGACATATAATGTATGTTGGTAAGACCACAATGTTGTAACGAACCATTAGCACCAGTTCCGTATGGTCGGGAAGGCTTCAGCTCTCTCTCAGCCCTGGAGAACTTGGCTGCTGACACCATCTTCATGGACTGGGTGATCTTCTGTACATTCTTCACAGACTTTAGTCTGTTCCGAACTATTTAGGAAAAAAACAACAGTTTCATCAATACACCATTAAACATACAAAAAAAGCTATATGCAGCTGTGACAAAGGCTTATGGTCTGCACTTAGACTGGTGGTTATAACGCCAAGGCCACACCAACTTAATCTCATGGATGACATTCGCATGCGCATTGATTTTTGCCTGTTCTTAAAAAAAAAAAGAGTACGTCCTCCAAGGCTCTGGTCTGGCTCTAGGCCTGGGTAGTCCATGGTAGTTAGCGACAATACCGAGCCTGTGCTAACTCTGGAGGATGGTACCCAGGCTGCCAAAGCTCCACGACAAGAACTCGGTGCCGGTTCATAAATTCCACAAAAAGCCAGCATGTGCCGGCTTGTCGTATACGTCACTATGTACTGCCATAAATTCATAATACCAGCTTTGTATTCCTGTGGTTTCGTAGCATTTTTATTTTTGGCTGGAATTTTCTTATTGATTAATTCGCCCCAGCGCACTAGTTTGGGGATCTTCAGAGGACGTCATCCATAAAATTAAGTCAGTGTGGCCTAACAGTGTAAAACTGAAGAACTAGACTGAGTACTGATAACAGTTATAAAACAAGTTATTATTATCAACCATCATAATCAACTATAACAGTTATAACAAATGAGTTCGCATGTGCATGTATGACCAAGCAACAGTGACTTGACTTTAATATCAGAATCCACATTTGTACATGATGTCAAAGATTGCAATTCAATCTAGTGAAGTCGAATAGGAAAGTTCAGTTATCATGAAAATGTTCATGTTTACTCAGACAACAGAAAGATCATGCAAACTTACTTTCTTTCAGTGTTGCCATACCACGCACTTGAGTGCTGCAAAGAAAAAAATACATGGTAAGGGCTAAGGAATAATGACAAAAAAAGCGACATTAAGTTATAACATTATGCTACACAAAAAAATCATCTTTCCTAGCACTACCGCAAAGTGGAACTCGCTGTCACCAAGTACAGTAGGGGCATTGTCATTAGATAGCTTTAAACAATGTTTAGAGTTAGATATTCAAGGTTACATGTAGGTGTAACAAGTCAATTGGTGTAATATAGCTAGCAGCCGCCATGCCCCGTGCCTGCAAAGCTGGTGTGTTATGCTGAAGGGCGGTTATAACGGCTATACAGATACAGATAAAATTAAGGTGACAATACAGTAGCTTTGCTGGTCTTTTTTTCATGCAGACTAGTAATATAGTAGTATAAGAACATTTCTTGCACTGATGTCATTAATTTTAGTACTGTTGGCACTGTGCCAACACAACAATCTTTCTCCAGAACTGACACATTAATGTAAGTGCAGCACTGACAGAGGCCTAAATCAACCGTGTGTGGTAACTCATAAACTTTCAAATCAGGAACATTGTTTTATATTTATACAAAATTGAGGACAAATTTTAAGTTTACTGTAGTGTTAGTGTTAATTAAGTGGGTCATAATATTTTTCACAACGGGTTTTTCTTCGTGTCAACAATCAGGACAGTTTTGGGGACCATAGGAAAATGTAGACATCAAGAAATCGAAAAAGGCTATACCCTGTTAAGAACATAAAGCTATGTCTACACACAGATAAAGGTTATAAGGTGATTTGGATTTCTTTCCTTGCATGTGACCTCTAAAGCACCGGCGCCATGTTGGTTTGCCCTCCCCCGACTGGTCATGGAAAAATGACGATTATTTGCGACATGTCGCGGCTAACACTTCTTTCAGTTATCTCCCAAGTAACGTTAACTTCTTACACAGCTATGTAGAAAACAATTTTCCCAGTAAATATTGTAATTTTCTTACCATGTTGGCACGAAAAGTGCTGTACGGGACAACATGGCTGCCGACCGGTGTTCTCCCTCACCCACCACGCATGCGCGAGAAAAGCCTCGATTTCAGGTACTTGGACGAGTCCAACTCCGGGGCGGGGGTGTATTATTAATTTCCAAGCAGATCATACGGTGGCAAGGCAGTATCCATTGGCCAGAGGAGTGTCCATACTGGCTAATGGACACTTCTCTGGCCAATGGACTGCAACGTCATTGAAGGGACCACAGAACAGACGAGAACGAACATAACGTTAAAATAGACAATACATAAGAACGTGCCTGGATATTAGATATTATACAAAAGACTGCACTGTACTGCATACTGTTGAGTAGATTAGTTTCATGAACTGTTGTAGTACATACACATATCATATACAATTGCTGAATAAATGCATATGATTGTATCAATA